TGTGTGTTAGTGTGTGTGTGTGTGTGTGTGTTAGTGTGTTAGTGTGTGTGTGTTAGTGTGTGTGTGTGTTAGTGCTAGTGTGTGTGTGTGTTAGTGTTAGTGTGTGTGTGTTAGTGTGTGTGTGTAAGTGTTAGTGTGGGTGTTAGTGTTTCTGTTATTGGGTGTGTCTGTTATTGGGTGTGTCTGTTACTGAGTGTGTCTGATGTCTGTTAGTGAGTGTGTGTTTGTCAGTGAAAGTGTATGTTTTGTAAGTGAGTGTGTATGTAAGTCTGTCGCTGAGTGTGTCTCTGTCAGTAAATGTGTGTGTCTGTTAGCTAGTGTGTATGCGTCTGTTCATGAGAGTGTGTGTCTTCAGCATTTACCTTTCTCCAGCGCTGGACTTCCTTGGCGCTGGGGATCCCTCCGCCTCTCAGCTCCGAATGCACATGCGCTGCAAGAGGCGCGCGCACGCATTTAAACCGCCCATAGGAAAGCATTACTCAATGCTTTCCTATGGATGTTCAGTGTCTTCTCACTGTGATTTTCACAGTGAGAATCGCGGAATCTCCTCTAGCAGCTGTCAATGAGACAGCCACCAGAGGCTGGATTAACCCTCAGTGAAACATAGCCGTTTCTCTGAAACAGCTATGTTTTCAGCTGCAGGGTTAAAACTAGAGGGACCTGGCACCCAGACCACTTCATTGAGCTGATGTGATCTAGGTGTCTGTAGTGGTCCTTTAGGTGTGTGTGCAGCATACCGCGGTCGCGGGGTGTTGCAGCCCCGACCCGCGCCGAGTAAGCGCGGGGGGGGGCCACGGATCAATTTTTGCACCGGGGCCCCATGGGTCATGTGTACGCCACTGTCAGTGAGGCATAGCTGATATCTCTCTAGGCACCGTGAGCAAGGGGTCCACGTCTGTATTTCTCTTTAAACTTATGGAGAGCAAAAAACGGGGCGCAAGAGAATACTGAGAACAGACAGCAGCTGAAATATGCATGATATTTGTATTCTTTGAAGCCTACTGCAAACTGGATCTAATATTAGCAAGGTGCTTTTCAGATCAGTGACTATATGGGCAGAAATCTTCATGTGTGAGCCATCTATGGACAGAACCAGTTACTTATAGAATTTGGACATTTCACTGATCTGATATATGGAGTGTGATTTATATATGTACAAACTGTGGCACATTTTTTACTTTTTAGAACATCCACTTAAGTTTTTTTTTACTGTTTAACCTCTGAAAATGTAGTTATTATCATCCTTGCTTTTTGTGTGTATTATTTTTAAAGCGCAGCTTACTTTATATTTTTTTTATCAGTATTTATTATATCTATTATATCTCAATGTGCATTTATCTCTCTACCTAGAATATATATTGGTCTATATTAAGTAGTCTATATTACTTTAATTTCCAGAAATATTTTTCTTTAGTGAACTCAAACATTACTTTCCAATTCATTTTAAAACAACAGGTGGTATTCCCCTATGGGGGGAAGTTTCATACATTTATAATCTTCTAAAGGAGTATAATAAATCTTACATAGCAATTGGTAATATATAGTTTAATACTTTTTTTGTGCTGGCCCTGTGTCCCTCTGTGCAATTACCAAACCAAAAGCTATTTTCCATTTATTCTAAGTCATGTCTGAGCAATGTAACAACGGGTCAGCTAAAATAATTCACAGTGACATATATTACACGTTATATTAGCATAATCATCTTGGACAGGAAGCCTGGTTCATTTCTCTTACAGCAGATAATGTATAAATGCATGGAAGTACAGAGGTGCTGAATTGTAAACATATATGTGTTTTCCAAAATGTACTAATTTGCCATCCCTTGAGCAGATAACACAAGGTAATGCTTCTAATATGTGGTTGTTTGAAAAATGTTGTCTGAACAGTGTTCTCTTATTGTTCCGATGATTAACCATGAATCATTAACAAAGGTTATTCCAGAATTTCGCTATTGGCTGAATGGAACTCCACACATTTTGTGACCACACTTTTTTTTTTGTTTGCATAATACAGTAAATTATCAGTAACAATTTCACTACCAAGTTATTTTTGTTATAAGAAAAGTTAGTTTGTTATTTATTTGAAACATGGGTTAATAGCTATCATATTAGCATAGCTAATTGGAGCACCATAACCACTGTCAACCCCATGAACCGCCGCAGCTTGGTTGGGGTCTCGCAGTCCTCCACCTACCCTGGACCCAAGACCAGGATCCAGCTTCCAGTGGGTAGACCTCTCCTAGTCCAGAGAGCTTAGCAGGAACAGCTCTTAGAAGAGCTAGTGATTATACTCAGGGGAGTATAGTGATTATGGCAATCCCCAGAGGGAATGTAGTTCTCCAATCCCACAAACATGAGCCTAGACTTTATGAAAGGCAAAACAAGTGTGTTTAATGTAAGCCAAAGCTGGCCTTTTTTGCAAGTTTTCCAACAAGATTGAAACCCAGGTGGACCTTGTTGGGCACAGGGACACAAAGTGTACAAACCAATAGAAACAATGTGACAATGAATGACACTCCCACATACAGTACACAATCCCTCCCCTCTGCTTGTGATACAATTAAGGCAGATAATACATTAACTTAATTATCCCCAGGCAGAAAAAACACACAGTTATATAAAGTCCAATAAGTACCCCAAAACACATCATATCCCCACATCCCCTGATCTGGGTGAACAACATATCCCAAAATCACCCAGATCAGAGCACGGGTTCAGGAAATTCCTAGAAGTCTCTTTTTAAATGACCACACGCATGGTTTCATGCCCAAAACAGTTCCAGAGAATTAGGTTGTGCGGTCGGTCTATTTCCAATAGTCAAAGTATCTTCCGAATTACCGAACGATGCCGTTCGTGAGTATAGTCTGTGTATGTCTCTTGTTCGTGGGCTTCGACCCACCGAACGCCGTTCGACTCCCATTCTAATAGTCGAAGTTCCCTGGAAGGTAATGGTTCAGTGGTGTTCGTGCCATCACTTGTCCGATTTGAGTTCCATGAACTCGACGACCAAGCACCGCTAAACGCGTTCGAACAAATAAGATGGCCGCAGCCATGTGTTCGAACGTCGAATGGCGGCCACTTCGACTACTTCGACTGTTCGAAGTACCACTTCGACTACTTTGGCTGTTTGAAGTGCTAACTCCAAATGCCGAAGAGGCCGCAAACAGTGTCCCTGAACACAATATATCACAAGGCCATAGTCACAGGGTGGGAGGCTGGCAAACAGGCCCCTCCAAAAACTTGTGGCAAGCTCACAGAAAAAGGTGAGATGGTCACAATCATGTTGGTGCATTCACTGATATTAAGGACATATGTGTTACTGTGTGGGAGCTTTGGGGGCTAAGCTTCGGATGTTGGGGTCTTAGCTCCAGATCTTTACAGTTGCTGGAGGAGGTGGAAAGATATGTGTTTTTTTAATTTTTATTTTACTTTTTATTTCAGGCAACTGCCTCTCAAAGCAGCCACCTATTACAAAAAGGAAGCTCAGTAGTATAATAGTTCACCAGGCGACATAAGGGGAGGGGTTGGCACCCCTGAAGTGACAGTTATGGGGGGTGCTGTGGAAAATAACACTGCTGCTCTCAATGTGTACAGGATCAAAAGTGTCCAGCAAAATAAATGTATTATCCACGATTCAAACATATTTTAGATCTTTAGATGTTGACAAGAGTATGCTTAGTACAAAACCTATAAGGGCATATAAGGAAGGAAAAAAGACATAAGACAACACATCAAAACGTAACCGTGTCTTGAACTCACCGCGTCTATCACATAATATATAATTAAAGAGTATAATAAAAAGTATTCAGTAACCATCTTCTGAAAATTTTTATTAACCATGTTTCCAGATCTTAAGAAAAGAGCCATATCTTTGAAAGGTCGAAAAATATCAGTTTCTCATGTTATATTGATAATGTATTTGATTCAAAACCAAAGGCCAGATTGCTTCAGCTGTTTTCCACATTCTTGTTATTATGATTTTAATGGCCATACATATTTGAATCATCAGGTATCTTGTGTTCTTTTTAAATTACTCATATGTAAGTGAATCATGGCTTTTTCTAAGGAAGGGGGAAGCACTATTCTTAACACATCTGATATTATACCAAATATGTTATTCCAACTTCCATTTACTAAACTGCCTATAGTTAGACTATTAGCTAAGTTTTGTGGCAGAATTGCATTGAGTGTGCTTGTCTCCAGCTATGCATTTGTTGAGATCATAGAAAAAATCAGCAGTAGACTTGGAGAATTATTTTGTTACTTACTTGCAATTAATCTGCATTTGGGCCGATCGTGTGTTTATCCGAATTCCTGATTTCCACTGCCTTGTGGATTAATCATAAAACAAACAATTTGAGCAGTTTATAAGCATGTTTGTTTGATTCCCGATTTACAGTTTTGCCCGTAGCGTTAACAAAAAGAAGTGATTGTGGGAAAAAACATGATTCATGTTTAGAAGACAGCCAACAGTCACTGACCAACAGAGAAAAAAGGATAACAGTAAAAAAAAAAATGGCATAGCATCGAGAGGAGGGAACATGTCATGAAAACATCTTGACACCCCACCACCTCTCTGTTAAACTAGAGGTCATCAAGTTGTCTTTAGGATTCCAGCCCCAAATGGTTCTGGAACCTAAAAATGCCCCTGGTATAGGATATTTAAAAATGTATATTACTTTTAAGATTAAGAATAACAAAAACAGGTAAATACATATGGCCAAATACTCTGTTTCTGGGTATAAATAAGAAACATAACATTATTTTAGGAAATATAGATAATAAACAGTTACTTGGCTAAAATGACTCATCTGTACAGTAACAGGCATTAAAGGCAGCTACTACAGCTTGCAAATAAAAGTTGTAGTGATACCAGAGAAATTTTGGTTCCAAATAAGTATTATTTTACTTACGGGTTGGTTAAGGTATTCATGTGATTATTAGTGATGTCCCGAACGGTTCGCCAAACGGTTCGCCACGGATGTACCTGTACCTCACAGTCAGCAGACACATTCCAGCCAATCAGCAGCAGACCCTCCCTCCCAGACCCTACCACCTCCTGGACAGCATCCATTTTACATTTATTGTGAAGCTGCATTCTTAGTGAGCTGTCCAGGAAGTGGGAGGGTCTGGGAGGGAGGGTCTGCTGCTGATTGGCTGGAATGTGTCTGCTGACTGTGAGGTACAGGGTCAAAGTTTACCGCATATGTTCGCCGTCCGCGGCAAAACGTTCAGCGAACCATTCGGGACATCACTAGTGATTATGTATTGAAGTCCATCTGTTTGCCCTTGTTTTTGTTTTTTGTTTTTTGTTTTTAAATCCACCTTAGTTATATATTTATACATAGGAAAAAACAGAAACTACTTTTTCATATGGAATGGAAGAGAAGATTAAGCAAAGTTCTATTTCAGTTGCACATCTAATTTACCCACAATCCATCTGTAAAAAAAATCTTATTGAAGAGTAAACAGTGCACATCATAGACTGAGGATAATAAACTAGCAGTACCCATTATTGAGATATAGCACAAAATATATATATATATATATATATATATATTTTAAAAGTGTGTGGGGAGGAAACATATACTCATAAATAAAATAAAAGAACATAACAGTGCAGCTTTAAAATAATGATTTACACGAAGTCAAGATAGTGGTGCCCGGTTGCAGTAAAAAGAGGTATGGATTTCTACCTTTGAAACCTATTTTTTTACATCTCACAAATACATGCTTGTTAAATAGAGGTAGTAATTAAAGGACCACTATAGTGCCAGGAAAACATACTCGTTTTCCTGGCACTATAGTGCCCTGAGGGTGCCCCCACCCACAGGGACTCCCTCCCGCCGGGCTCTGGGGAGAGGAAGGGGTTAAACTTACCTGTTTTTCAAGCGCCGGGTGGGGGGAGCTCTCCTCCTCCTCTCCTCCCTCTTCTTCTCCTCTTCGGCTGAATGCGCATGCGCGGCAGGAGCTGCGCGCTCCTTGAGCCAGTCCATAGGAAAGCATTCACAATGCTTTCCTATGGACACTGGCATCTTCTCACTGTGAAAATCACAGTGAGAAGCACGCAAACGCCTCTAGCGGCTGTCAAGAGACAGCCACTGGAGGCTGGATTAACCCTGCTATGTTTATAAAAAAAAGGGTTAACCCTAGCTGGACCTGGCACCCAGACCACTTCATTAAGCTGAAGTGGTCTGGGTGCCTATGGTGGTCCTTTAAACATCATATTAAAAATCATGGAAAGTGACAGCTCCCTTTTACAATGATGTTCAAAGCATTACTTACTGTAGGCCAGCTCCCTTCACAAGGTATACTTGTACTTAATAATGGCAAGCATACCATTGCTAGTAATGTGATTCTTGAACCAGATTTTAATGGCACTAACAAGCATGACTGATCCTTAACTGCCATTTTTTCATGGGTCGCATCCCAGTTAATTTCTTTTATTTACACAGATAAATGAAGTACTAAAAGAAAATAATATTAAACTACAAATCATGAGATAAAACAATATTTTCCTAACATTTAACTATTTCAAACTATTTGTTAAACATTTTCTAAAATATATTTTGAGCATTCTTCCTGCGTAAAAAGAAGGGTACAGAATGTTTCAGTTTGTGTAATGAGATCTTAACTTGTCCCCACTCTCCTTACACAATTTATCATTTAAATCTGCAGGTGGAAGAAAGTGTCAAGAGAACCTTATTGGCAATAAAATTTCATATGAAATATGGCTCTTTCTCTTCAGAACTGTCTCAAATAAGACGGAAGATAAGTCAGTTTCTCAATCTCTTTTTACAGGTCAACTATTGAACTATTGCACACAAAAAAATGAAATGTCATAAAATTATTTTGGTGATGAATTTTTGAAAGAAAAAAATCTGAATGCCTTATTATGAGGTGGAAATTGGTTCAAGACATTCTGCTAGAAAGGTGCACAGATCAGGGCAACTATTTTAGGCTTTTGTGTGAGTGTGTGTGTGTTGTGCGTGTGTATATCTGTGTGTAGGTGTGTGCAAGTTACATACATTTGAGTTACATAAAATAATAAAAAAATGTAACCCCTTAAGGACACATGACATGTGTGACATGTCATGATTCCCTTTTATTCCAGAAGTTTTGTCCTTAAGGGGTTAATTATTTTTTTGACAGACAACTGTCAATGCAGATCTATGCATCTTTGCTGTAAACCTTTTTTGTTTTATTTTCTGAGGATTTTTAATGTTTTATTTATAATATTATTTCCATTGAAATAACAGCTCACAACACACAGTTTGTACAGGGTTAAAATCATCTCCAATTGAATTAGCTCAATCCTCTGAGTCACAAACCCAGCCCTACATTGTGGAGCCTCACAACATTTCAAGTAGGCACAGCATCAATGTCTCAGGTCTCAGCTATAGAGTGACTGAGCACCATAAAGAGGATGTGTGGAACTGGCCTGCTGAGCCTAACACTATGTAATGTGCAGTAGAAGTTATTAAAATTGTTAATGACAGGCAGCGCAGTGCTGTCTACGAGAAATGTCTGTCATTTTCTCTCCTTCTCTTGTACTCCCCAAGCTTCCCTGACTTTAAAAGATCGAATCATATATTTTAATAAATATCACTTGCTTAATCAGACATTCATGCAGACTCTGAGCTATTGGGTTGGAGAAAGATAATAGATAATATTATAAACTTACATTAGACATGACTCAGGAGTTGCTTTTTGCTGTGCTACTTCCAAGATAGCACCTTGCGTCTCTCTCCTTTGGGCACCCCACCACCTGATGCTAAGAGTTAGTGAGGCCGCCTGAATAAAAGCTGGATCTGCTGACCAAATAGCAACTCAATTGGAAGCCCCTGAAATTCCATCATAAACTAACTGAGGAATTTGCAAAACCTGCCGAAAGAAGACAGATTTCAAATCTGTCCTATTTTTGATGTGCCCATTTTTAAAATTAGCTTATCCCTTTCCCCTTCATGAAAGAAAACCTTAACTGTCCCAGACAACTGCCAATATTTTTTTTTCAATTAAAAACTGGTAGGCTCTGCCCCGAGTACCCCTATAAACAAACCTCCCACTGTCTCAGCAGGCTAATATTACTGAAAAGAGAAAAAATGAAACTATGTTTTCATTTGCTTCCTCATTTACATTGTGTGCCTTGGCTATGCCTGAACTGACTGTGATGCCATTTGCTTTTTAATATTATGTAATATACATTTTGAAAGAAAATTCCATTACATGAAAAAATGGTTAGCAAGTGTTTTTATTTAACATTCTATTCAATGGTGTGATTTTCAGAGAAGTACATATATAAAAACTGAAAATAGCTTTATTGATCTCCTTATTGCTCTTAGGATGGGAGACACAATGCCTTGATCTACTTACAACATTTGTTCTTAAATATTTATAAGATGTACAGAAGAAAAGCAGATTTCACATTCTCATTAAACGATGGAATAATGTTGAAAGAGAGGTCAGGCTGTTTCCCTTGCTGAGATATAGAGCCTTCTGTTAGGAGCTTTAACTATGGCACCTCTATGGCTCATTGAAACTGTAAAAAAAATCATGCATTTGAACAAGGAATCTTTAAAGTTAACCGTCACCTCCATTACCAATAAACCTGCTGGTAGTCTGGACCGACTCAAAGGTATTTTACAGGTGTCAAATGTTTAACAGCTGCATACCTATGTTGGGGAGATTTGGGAAATAGTGGGGAGATTAAAATCAAGATGTCCAAATGAGAATTTACAATGTAAGTCACACATGTTGGAAAAAGCAATGTTTTATTGATGTCCTTTAACTTCCCACTGGGTATTGAAACTCCTCTAGCTATTAAAGGGTATCCTTATTATTCAAATAATTGCAGCGATTTAGAATGGTAAAATCTCTTTGGAGGTTATTTACTAGTGTCTTAATAGCAAACTGAATAGCGAAATTCAAACATTGTAAACAAACAAAATTAAATTTGTTTATGCTACAGAAAAAAGCCAAAGCCAAACGTATCGAAATCCATGCATTCATCAGTCACCAAATACTTTGGTCCCTCACTCGGGGAAAGATTTGAAGATTTTAGTTCACGTGGTCAGCATTTGCAAGGTGTCACAAAGAATCCATTTACCCCTTTGAGGAGACTCCAACTTATCAAGTGACTTATAATATGTGATGGGCTGCTGTGCAGCTATCTACATGCAAGACTTGCATCTATTGCAGCTAACGTGCCACATCAGCCCCTTGTTTGAATACATAGGAGGGAAGACTGCAATCTTGTTTGGTCTTTAAGGCGAATCTAACCTTTGGGAGGTTTTATATATATATTTGTTTTTTTATATAGTTATTTTTTAATAAATTTAAATTGTTTCTGACAGAGTTATAGAATATAATTGAACTTCTAGACTAGAACCAGGGCCATGCCGATGAGGCTCACAAGGTAGGAACAGCAGTTCATTGCGGGTTTCTGGTCAGTGATCCTTTTTAATCATATCCCCAGGTTTAAACAAAGCTGTATTTGAAACAGTTCATTTGATATACGCCTGCGATCCATAACAGTACTCTATCTATCTATCTAGCCATCTATCTATTTATCTATCTATCTATTATTTATCTATTCAAACACTCAAAATACTCATCAGATTGATGCATTCATTACTAATGAGGTGTGTACACAATTTTGGTTTCATTTCTCTTTGCTGGTAATTAGTGATGTCCCAAACGGTTTGCCGAACGGTTCGCAAACGGTTCGCCACGAACGGTTCGCCACGGACTCATCATTGAGTAAACTTTGACCATGTACCTCACAGTCAGCAGACACATTCCAGCCAATCAGCAGCAGACCCTCCCTCCCAGACCCTCCCACCTCCTCGGGACATCACTACTGGTAATATAAAAAACAAAATTACATACAGCTATATTTATATATCAGTTCACTTCTGTGCTGGTCTTTGCACAATGTGTAATCCAATTTCCTCAAGTATTTACTATATCTTATATAGATGAATACGCCTTTCTACAAAGTCTGAATCAAATCTGAACAGTTGCTGCTGCGGAAAGAAGCATAAAAGAGGCTTTGAATACAATCAGGTAATATTTACAGACTGTAAAGATGCATGTTTTAGGCAGGTGACCATATTTACTTATATAAAAACTAAGTACATAGAAGAGGCACTATACAAGCTCAAGATTTATGGTA